TCACGCTCAAACTCAAACGAAGACTCATTTCATGAAAAGAAATCATTTTGCGCGTAAATGTCACGCGCGTAAGTGTCGTGCGCGAAAATGTCGGCGCGCAAGTGTCGGCGCGCAAATGTCATGCGCGCAAATGTCGTGTAATCGGTAAAATATGATGTCAGTAATAGATATTCGAGTCTAAGCATCTCAAGTTGTGACCATTTTAAAACAATGTCCAATATATGATTCGATGCAGATTTAAATGGGCTACAAAATAATATAAAATTTTTTTTGGCAATCGACTTCTGACCAAGACATTTAGTCAAAATACTGAAAAGTGAAAAATATTTCAGAGCACATTAACATACTATATTTTGACTTTTTTGGTTCTAATTTAAGATAAAGGAGATATATCATATGTACAGTTTTGTAGAGCAAATCAAGCTCTATCGATTGGTATATGACTCGATTTGAACAGTGAAAAAGTTTCAAGAAAAAAAAATCACAAAAAGTGATGGGTCAATTTTTGAGTTTTTTTTTGCAATTTTTAGGAGTATATTTGAGGGTGTCTCAGTTCGGTCTGCCCTAGCTGAGCAGCAGTAGATCTTTAGATCGCAATATTTTGGATTATTCTATGGCACACTAGGGCCTAACTTCCTATGGGGTCAGATTTGAAATCTGTTAATCACCATGTTTTCGCTATCTCTGGTTTTTTCATGAACCGTCTCTTAGAAGTGTTTCTATTTATAGCAAACGATGTTATTTCCTTTTAACCTTATGTATTTTATTAATATTTATCTTCATATATTAACGATATCTATTTATATGCAATTTTGATAGGTTTATTCTTCTGACGAATGATAAATTATATAATTTATTTGTTTATGTTACTTATGTTTGTGCCAATGGACATATCATCTTATATGATATCTTTACTTTCTCAGTGTGTTCTTGTACAATCAATGTTACGCAGTGTTCATAATCGCATTACTCTTACGTTTATATATGCTTGATTGAATCTTATTCTCTTTCTGTCGTAATGCGCTTCTCATTCCACATTCACTCGTATATTATATGTATTGCTCTCATCTATATGTTCTTACTCGAGTGTTCTTCTATATCTGTCCTCTCCTTGGCCTCATCACTTGTTCATTCTTACATTGTTCTCTCCTTGGCTTCATCCTTTGTTCATTCTTACATTGCATAATCTTCTGTTATATCTTACCTCTTT